GCCTCTGCTTATTCAGGATAGCACAATACAAAAATCGTGTACGAATATTATTGCCTCGTGCGGGGTTCGACCTCACGATTTCGGTGTCTGATCTTGCAAACCTCAGAGCGAGCAGACACTGCGATAGGAAATCACGTATTTATACTGTATCTTCTTGCAAGTTGTTATCGAGTGGTTAGTATTCCTTCTTCGTATTCGGGAGGTCCCAGGTTCAAATTGCGCCCCAGAGAACGGATGCCCTGTTAGAGGTTTTTGTGATTTTAGTAGGTAAATGACGGGATAGTAGCTTGAAGTAGGCCACGATCGTTTTCTTCCACGTCCTTTACAATTCTTTATTTACTATCGTCCTCTCATTCGACGTTACACAGTCTGAAATATTGAAAGCGTAGTTAATAAAAAAAAGTATGTTCAGTTACTTTCAATATCTTACGAACAGGAATTTTATCACGACACTCTCCGGCCAATTTTTGGGAATGTTAGAAGCAACTTTAGTGACAATAAATTCTGGAAAGAAGTTAATAACGCTGAGTTCCCTTCAGATGATTCAGACTGTAAAATAAAGCTAGAAGTATGTGCAAAATAATAATTACACAGTTTATTGATCAGTTTATACGCGTAATTTTCACTGGTGCGGAATCCAACTACAGTCTACATTAAATAGATTAGATATTGGCATAATCTCAAAGCACTGCACAGTGTGTACATTTGTATATTTAACGTAAACAATACGTAAAACAGGATATTAATAATTACGTTCTTTTTGTGTATTTATCTCCATATAAAATTCCTCAATAGTAGGCCTAGTTAGGTGTCTTCGACGAAGAATGTTGTAACAAAAGTTCTTGTATTTTTCTTGAATATGCATCACCACACATCACGATCCTATATTAAACGGGGCTAATGTCACTTTTGGCTCAAGTTCGTGCAACCGCCGAGGAGTGTCGTGTTGGTAATACAGACGGCAGGAAAACGAGAGTACGGAGAAGCGTTAGTCCTCAGAGGAAGGATGTGAATACAAAGTTCCATGAAAATCCTCAAAAGTTATTGGGGGAAGGGTTTTAGGAGCATATACGAGCACATGGACCTAACGGTGCCACACACCTATCCGTCATTATAAAATATAGTGTTTACGTGAAGCTATACTTGCATCCTTAAATACGTCTTCATGGTGCGATGCTTAAATACGCACAGGGATAGCATTTTATCCTGCCTATCTTTTCCAAATAAGGAAATATGGCTAAAAGAATTGGTGAATTCTTTGGTTGCATTCGCATTTTTTCTTGCAGCGACAATAACATGAAATTGACTGTACCGGCGAGAAAAAACTAACATTATTATATATTCACGATCCAAACAAAGAGAATGCGGTGTGTTGCCAAATCGTATCAGGCTCCCCTCTCCTCACCTCACAACCATTCACCAACCACTGCACAGGAATGCGAATATCCTGTCCATGCAATTCCTCACTAACCGCGGATTTCAAGTCGCGCATCCCCTGTTTTGCATTTATAAGTCCAGTTTTGCCAAACGCGGTATTCAGTTTTATATCGCGGTCTTTAATGTGTGTTCATGGAATAATCGATGTTTTCCACACATTTACTGGAGGCAGGTGTGTAATGTTATCTGAAACCACTTTTGTCGATTTCAGATCATAACTATGGTATATTTATTCACAATGCGTGCAGTATCCGTCACCAAATTGCATGCTTCAGGGTAACAACAAAATCGAACAACACCGCAACACGAACAGCGGAGCCCGGGTGAGAAAAGACAGCTCAAAACTAGCAGCGTAGCAAAGCAAACAACGCTGTGAAGTCTTCCGTGGCCTTGAAGCATGCAATTTAGTGGCGGCTACGATAGTTATTTTTCATGCCTAATTAACTGCATATTTTGAATGTTTACTGAATAAACACGCAAATTTCTTAACTTGTAGTTTTCAGTCAGTGTTTTTCACTGACAGTCTCCGCGGGTGACGATGGATAACGAGGACAGACAGAGAAAGGAAGACTGCAATTGGGCCATCGTCCTCCCGCTCCATTCCTGAGTATGATAGGCCACCCGTCGCATTGTGTTAGGGAGAATGAAATTAAAGCCCCGGTGATCTGTAATATGCGGGGGTGAATATCTGGTCGCTCATGCGAGATCATATGCCGGGAAAATTCGTTTTCAGGTCGGATGGGAAACTGATTAGCCGTTCCACGGCACAAGAGACGCACATCTGGCAACCCTGTGAAGGTCCCATATGGAACATTCAGAGAACTAATTCCATGTACAGAGAATCGGACAATACCATCAGAACAGTGTGATTAAAAATATAAAACTTTATACAGCAATGTTTTTAATTCCAACCTATGCTAATTGGGGAGATAGCTTTTAAAAACAGATACAATTATTCAGATCCGAAAGTTATAATTATTATAGTTCTTCTATTTCTGTGTCTAATTTGTGATGTAACTTTACAAACAAATGTGATAATCTAAAACTACTGGAGTCATTTTAGCTCTAATGAAAATCTACGTCTGTAATGCGACCAAATTATTAGTATGTGGAGTACGTTTTTGAAATTGTTCATTTACAAAGTGGTCACGATATTTCCTGCTCTTATAGAACCCGAAATTCTATAATCGTGCTCATAAAGACTTGTCATTGGATCCTACCTGATCCACCTAATTCCAGCTCATACTCCCAGATAAACATTTACTTTAAGATCCACTCAAGCATTTTCCTCTCATCTACCCACGTGTATCCAGAGAGTCCCTTCCCTCGAGGACCTTCTCTCAAATCTGGCATTAATATGCCATTTATCCACGTTTTCTACATGTCCTGTCCATCTCATCCACTTTGAGTTAATCAACTCAAGAGTATTTCCGGTTCTCACGGCTGCGATTATACAAAATACTGTTTTCTGAGCCGCTGTACCGTGATGAAAATAACAAGCACCTCTGAAACGTCGGTAAACTTATACCAGACTACATCCTGGAGAAAATTCATCTTAATATTCGCTTCGTTCTTGTCCTACTTCGTGCGTCTTAGGTCTACATAAACATTTTCAAACTTTTAATCCATCTGATATTTGAGATTATCAAAGCAATGTAGACGTATACTGTGGTATTTTGGTTTACTAACATTTCGGAGGAACGTTGGTAACATGTATAAGACTAGACAGAGTCACAATGCAGAAAATCACAACGGAATTCTATCTGTTTTTTAACAATTTTCTTAGTGGTTCTTAAGTCACGCATTTTGTAATAACAGACTAAAACACTGTGTAGAAAGGACGGGGCACGCGCAGAAATAAATTCAACTCAAGGTTTGTTTGAAAATAGAGTTTAATCACCGCGACATCGTCGCCCATTCATCGGCCTGTGCTTTGAGCATCTGTCTGTTTGAGAAGAGAAATAAAAAGCGGAAATTTACTCACCTGTGGCTTAGTGACGAGCCGAAACTTATTTAATTTTAAGCTCAGCTGAAGGTGACACTCTTCAAAGAGTCCGTCAGTTGTTTAAATATTTAATATTAAGCTGAAGGAAGGAAATAAATATTAAATTTCGTTTTCACTGTTTAATCGTTCAAAACCGAGGACGTCGACATTAAATTTAGTTATTACTAATTTTAGAGCCATAATGTAATTGGTCTGAATCTTTAACTGAGCATTTTACTGAATACAGCATTGTTTCATTGTCTCTCCAGCTATAGTTTGAATACCTGGTCTAAAAGTGGGTGTTCTATTGCAGAATTATTCACTGGCGAGCTTATTACGTAACAATTCTATGATTATCCATTATTTGCGCATTATACCATATAATTATACTACTTCTGCCTTCTTAGGCAGAGCGCATCCTATGTTAAATACTCGTGTCTCAATTTCTTATTGATACTATCAGGTTTTTCAATATTTATCTAGGCCTATTTCTTTTCTTCCTTCTGTGTGATGTGTGTACTCTTGTTCGGATATGTGTGTGGCTGTGCTGGACATGTGTAATGAGTCTATATTTGTTTTACACCGAGTTCAACATTAAATTGAAGACACGAATTATTTACTCACATTGTAGTTAGCTGGTCCTTTTCAAATTCTAGCTGTATGAAACTTAGCAGATTTTTGTAAACGTAAAACAAATCACCGCTGAAATTACACTCTAGGCCAACATTTACTTTCTCCTTTCGGTATTTTTTTTCTTTTCAGCGAACCTTCGATTTATACAGGCAGGTTTTACTTTAATTTTGATAGATGATGTAAAGAAAACAGAGGTATTCTTGTATGGTCTTCTATCGTTTGTAGCAAAAAACGAATAAAAATAAGCTACTCGTTAAAGTACCCAGTGTAAGATAAAGTTAACGTAATAAAAAGGGAGGTTTCCTCGTGTTTTGTCTCAGTGATTCCCTACTTTTTTTAAATCAGATCCCTGGATGAACTGTTTCTGTGTGTTTTTGTCTGCTCTCCTATTGATCGACGCGCTACCCCAGTTTCTCTTGTCTCTCCCCCGTTGCCCAATTTGCGACCTCTTCCCGTGCTAATGTGATCACTCCTACGGAACCCTCTTGTACACGGCTGAGGAACTTTCAAGTGCCTAGCCTCATTCGCGCCAACTCTCCAAATGCAATGACTTTTAAGGGGGCGTCGTTTGTCCGGTTACCGCGATGCAAGTATCTGCCGCTCCTCTTCAACATTATCCTTCTCCTGACATGAGGGTTTGCCTGAAAAAACACTCAACTCGCAATTACTTTTCCCCTCCTACGACGGAAAAATATTTTTAAAATTATTTCTGTCTACTTTCTAGTCCGTTTTCGATATCTTTCAGCCTAAAATCTCAGTGTAATGTAGTTTTCAACACAAATTTATGCATGCTTTTGAAGAGTATTTAGGCCTTATAAAATTTACAGGTGAGAAACTACAAATATCTTATAAAAAATAGAGAATCTTGATATAATTTTTGTAACATGTCGCCAAGTTCCTTTTTTACGTGTTTATTGTTTTGGCAGTTCGATGGAAAAGAAGACTTAAAATACCTTGACTAACATCACCCTCGTAAATAAATGGATTTGTCATCGTGGTTCTATTCCATGGACACTGATGTCGACATCGAAATGTTAATTATGAAAATACACTACGAGAATAGCATTAAACTTCCAGAAGTTTTTACCAGCCATTAAGTACAATGCCCTTTTACTTTAGAGGGGCTATCTGCAGACAGCAGAGAACTGCAAATTAATTTTACTTGTACGCGAATATGCAATACCTTAATTTTTTTACTCCTTTCACATCAGCTTCGTCTCCAGCATGATGCAATGGAAACCGGTCCTACTTTTTAGCAACATGAACACGACCCCGTCACACGAACAACACGAGTATCAATAAGTTCTCAGAAGACGTTATGACGCATAGATTCCTCCAATGTTAGGCATTATAGGAATAGTAAAAACAGATGGAACTATAAACTAATAGACCTCCTTATAAAAGTTAGTGATGTACTTTCGGGCATAATTTTGATTAATAGCCCTACATAATTTTTTTAAGGTTGCCAGAAAAGAATTCAGAGTTTCATAACTTCGTCATAGTTCAAATTCATAACATTTTCGTATAATATTTTTAATCTATAATCATACAGCATTTTCTTGTTTCTAATTTATGATAATCCATATACATGACCTACTACAACACAACGCTTGGCATACTTCAGTGTTTAATTAATTTTTGCTACGAAACCAAAACCAAAATACGTATTTCACCATGTTACTATTTTGCATGACCGATATACAAAAATATGACCTTAGTAGTAGAATTTGAGGTTCTCATGGCGGTGATCACTAAGATGGCTGTCTTCTGGACTGTAACGCCGTGTAGTCTGGTAGAATTTTACCGACGTTTCGGGGGTCTTTTCTGTCTCCATTATCACCCTGATGATGGAAACAGCGACGTTGGTAAACTTCTACCAGACCACACGGCACTATAAAAATAAAATCCTCGCCTTATTTTCATCGTGTAAACTATTTTACATCATCAAATATCAAGACTCCAGAAATGCCTCAAACGTCGCTCCTGTGACAAAACTTCACACGAAAACTTGGTCGATAATAGACTATGATGGAGGAGTAATGAGGACTAATGAGTACACAGATAACGCGTAATGTAGCCTATAGTGACATAATGTTCAAGTCCAAGTTTCATGTAACTGAATAAATTTCAAAAGTTAATTTGGGCGGAGGGTAGGGCCAGTATATAACACAACATACACGTCTTCCATTACAAAAAATACTTCCGTTATAAAAATAGAAAAATAAAATAAATATAATTTAAACTATTTGTTTTACAGGCTTGTGTATATAAAATAACACAATGGCCACCTAATGCTGGAATCATAAGTTCAAATTCCGCTCCGTGTATGCGGGTATATCGTTTCAGGTGCGTATGCAACACTGCGGAGCAGTCCTTCCGCCCGACTGCCGGCATCAAACAGTCAGGGAACGGACAAACCGATTTTCATTACATGTAATAAAAGAGATTTTTGTGAAAAAATTGTTTTTTTAATTTATGATTTTATTTAGACAGAACAATTTTAACGACTACTGAACTACATAGAAGAATAAAAAAAATTATTGAGCTTTTCTGGCGAACGCTTAAATTAAATGTACAACGTATACTATTACACATTTGTTTTCTTTGTAGAAAGAGAACTTAAGACGAACCTATCCTCCAAACAAAGAAGTTATGCAAAATGTTTAACAGATTAGCTAACTAAACTATACCAATTACTAAACTAGCAGGAGAGTCGGCTTTGGCAAAAATATAACTACTTTCCTAAACCACGTTTCAAGGTTAAGACTGCGTGTTGTTTCACCTCCTTTCAACCTCCTTATGACCACGAATCGGCTATAGAGATTCCTTCCCGTTCAACAATTACAACATCTGTGTTGACAAAAGTGGATTTGAGGAAAAGACAACTTAACATCATGGAAGTTTTAAAGCAGTGTCAATACGTTGCTGTGTACTGCCAAATATCTAAAATAATTTTAACATTGCTTGTGTTCATTACGAAGTTACGGAATATTTCATTCATTGTCAAGTTAAACTATAAGGAGTGAGTTTTATTATTTCTTTGATGCATATAATTTTGCGTATACTTCGTTCGTCAATAAATGTTTTTATTCTGTACTATGAATAACCTGGGGGCCAGTCGCCTTCATCAAATATTCTTTGTTGGCTATGGTTCCGCAAAGTATGGGAAGAGTCACGTAGGCCAATCACTGCCTTAAACTCTGTCTGCCATGTGGTCTGCGAAGTGTGACTGGATAGTATTTTGTCTCTAAGTATTTTCGTAATGGTGTGC